AAATCACAGTTCGCATCATTGCTGCTGGTCGGTGAACCACCGGCCGACAGTTGTAGGATGCCTGCTGGAGTTGTTGCGATATGTTCGGTGGATGAAGCGGAAGTTAGCTTGGAGCAGGAAGCTACCGCTGCATCCAATCCCTGATGTCCTGAACTACCGCCACCGCCATTACCGTTGTCGCCGCTGGCGCCAGCATTACTTTGCGGTACACCACCCACCAGACTGGTCAGAAAATCACCGGTCAGCACATTCGCTGTTGCACCAACCGTTGCTGTTGTGCTGGTCCCAGATGTTCCGGCACCAGCTCCTGCTGCTACTGTAGCAGCACTGAACAAATCGTGCAGCGACTCGGATGCTACAAAGATTAGATAATTTTAATGTTATCATTTACATATACAAATTTATGTTTTGCAGTATGTCGGTGTGACCATGTAAGCAAGTAAAATCCGATTAGCAAGATATGTTGCTTGTTTTGCTGACAACGGGCGAATATGGCACATTTTAGTAAGGTGCTTACAGGAAAGAAAATAACCACCCAGACAGCCCCAAAAGGATGACGCACACACATCGAAAAGATGATGCTCGCTAAAAAAAAATAGGCACTGTAAGAACCTCTTTAACGTGCTTCGATAGTAACGTGATAAAGAAAGATATGCAAACTCAGTAAGGAAAGTCTCTGATACAAGTAACTGGGTAAACTTTTCGGGTATTCTGGTCAACACTTTGACATCTCGAAAATTCTTCTCTGCCTCCTACACTAGTTTTTTGAAAGTTGAAATCCAACATTTTGGTATCATAAATGCACTGACGCACAAAACTGACCTGGTACCAATGGTTGCGTCAGAGAACGTGGTGAGCTTCGATCTTGCTGAAAAAAATAATAAATCCATTGAGGAAAAGTGGGCCGATACTATCAAGTAGTAGCATATCATAAGGCCGGCTTGATGGCCTCACTTGTACTTCTTATGATCGTGCAGTAAATTGTCGCGGTTATTACGCAGGGAAAAAACTTGTCACGTTTTCCATGGTGATCCTTTGAAGCACTTAATGAGTCAAAAAGAAAAACACTGCGACTTTACAGCCAAGACAGTATTAGTCTGATTTTAGATACCGACATGGTCACCAGGCTTAAGCAGAATTATAAAGAATTAGAATTATAAACGTCATTCAAAAAGTAAGTGCATTCACAACTCGGCTGGCATCTTCGCGAAACAAAATAATTGGCCAACGCACGGGCAGCCCGTGCGAAGATGCGTTTTTTGCAGAGTTCCCCGCAGTCTTTGTCGCTACCGGCATCGGTTTTTTCGGCAGATGCTTCTAGTTGAAAGAATTTCAGACTGGCCGC